TTGTGTTGAGCATCATAGCAACCAGTGCATCATAGCAACCAGTTGTTCTGCCATTTGGTCAATTTGCATATTAGCTTTTATTATATAGGATTTCTGTGCAAGCACTACAACACAAGTTCCATGACCTTTATTCATCTAATTTACTGCCAATACCATAGAAGGCACCTGGTCAATATGGTGGGTCAGTAATTGCAATAGAGATATGAACCATGCTAGAGGAACAGGAGGGAGAAATGAATGAACTCTGAACTTAAGATTTGAGAAAGCTGAGGAGAGAAGGATAGAAAGCTTAGAAGCTGGCCCTTAAAGGGAAAGTAGGAGTCCAACAAACAAAGAAGGAGGAGAAGGGCCCTTCAGTATAAAATAGCAGATGAGCTCAAGATGAGCCCTGCAGCAAAGCACAGGAAGACGTCAGGACCGACACAGTCTATCTGTGGACAGCAGTACCAGAGACCAGTTAGAAAGGAACCATGATGCCAGGAAGCAAGTGCATGGGTTACCAGGTGAAAGAGTTCTATGGAGCAAATTACACTGGGCCCAGCACCGTTTTAAGGCCTGCACATGCAGTAACTCATTCAGAATCACAGGAATCCTGTGGGAGAGGCACTCCTAGCCTCCATTTCACAGGTGAGGAAACTCAGGCACAGAGAGGTCAAGTGCTTCCAAGTTACACAGCTAGTAAGTCACAGAGCCAGTGCCCTGGTTACCATTGTCACTATAAAAACATTGTGAATGGTTAAGTGATCTACAGTATGATTTGTGTTGCTACTGGATTTTTTTTTCACAAATAATGAACATATTTATGTTAAATTTAGACAGTAACCACTATGAGTATTAGCTGTTCATCTGCATTTAGTTCTGACTAGTCGAATGTATTAATTTCCAATTTTGTCTTTGCATCCTTCAATAATATTACTATTTCCTAAAACTATTGATTTAAGGATAGTTTTCCTGGTGATTAACATACAATATAATATAGTACAATTACATTTGTTTTTGTCCAAATTTATAATCTATTTAACTAAAATTTTCCAGTATGCTTGAATTCTGGAAAAGGTTGAGGGGTTTTTTATTGTTTATTTTTTTCTGAAATCACTTTGCCCCTCTTCTTTTTTTTTCTAACTTTGAACTTCACCTGGAGATAGTTATTGATGGCAGCTAACTCATCATCATACAGGTTATACTTAGGTTTTGTCATCATCTTAGAGAAATATTTCTTCCTCAGAAAATGTTTCCACTCTTCTATTAAATATGCTCCCTTTTAATAGCAGGTCTTTCAACTACCAATTTATTCTCATTAAACTTTTACCTATTTTTCCCCAAATACTTATATAAACTAAAATTTTAACACATGAAAATACATTCAAAGAATCATAATTCAGTTCAATATCAAGGTTACAATTTATGCAGCACTGGAGGGCAGCATCTAATATGATCTAATTGCTTTACCCACAAGTGCTTTCATTAGCTCCAATAAATAACAGCTCTTTTTACCTCATTAAAATCTTTAACATTCCATATTGTAATTCTTAAAAAAAAATTGGTTTATTTTATCTGAAATCCTTGGGAAAGACACAGACTTTGTCACTGTGACCTGTCCTATAAATATCCTTGGACCCAGGTAACCAGAAGTCCCTGTTCTCAGAGATCTTGCCCCCATATCTTCTCTAGCAATGACTTGGGTGGGGACACAGGCAAAATACTCTGATCCTTCTCAGGCAATAATATTATTATAAGGAGTCCCCTGTGGTTGGTTTTATATAATCTAGAGAAAAACAGCAGGCTACAGTAACTGATAACTCATGTGATACAAGAAACCAGAGAAAGGTAGAGGATAGCCTAAAGTAGAGAACTGCCTAATATAGGGAAAACATAAGAACTGTTTATGGAGGTATCTGTAACTAAGTCTTTGCTATACCAGAGGGCAAAAATAGGACTAATGTGTGGAACCCACTGGAAGGTAACTTTCAGCTAAAAGGAAAGAATTATATAAGCAGAGATAATATTCAAAAATGGAACAAGGTGCTTCCTAGAGGAAGGAGGCAACCATTTGTAGAGTTTTAACCTGGAATTTCCTCCAGCAGGGAGACATGAAAACCTGGCTGCTTATATAAGTTATTTTTCAAACAAGGACACATTTGAGAATAAAAGTATAACAGCAGTAAACCAGGAAATCCCAAGCAAACCGAATCTCATGTCACACTAATTCACCTTTGTTTTTGACCACCAGCTGTGTGGGTATGTTCACACGTGGAAAATAGGGGGAAATTGGCCTCTTAGGGGAAAGAGAATGAGTCAGAATTCATGGGAACGCTAAGAAACATCTCGCCCCTTTACATTCTCATCCTGATAGGATGAAATCCAAAGACCCAGATCTATGTGAGCAAGCCATGATATGAGCAAAGTGTTACGATCCAGAGGGATCCAACCAGGGAAATTCCAGGACTGGGGCATTGTTCCCAGAGCCAGGGTGGAGTAAATACAAGTTTTTCTGAGACATCTACAAGAGCCTAACATAAAAAAAAGTAAGAACAGAGCCATCCCCAAAGGACTGAAGATTGTGGAGGTGATGGTGGAGGTGAGAGCAGGGCTAGTCTAACAGCAGGACTCCCTGCATTGCAGGCAGGCACTGAGAGAAAAATGGAACAAAATGCAGGGTGTATGGGGAGCCTGGTTTCTCCATGATCTGTGTCTACCATGCCAGATAGGCTAGACTTATTCAATGAGGTACACTTTTTCTTAATGGTAATTGAAATATAATTACAAAAACTTTACTACAACTTACCACACTGTAATTGATAACTATGTGAAGGGTTACTAAAAACTAGAGGCCTGGTGCATGAATTCGTGTACAGGTGGAGTCCAACTTACCCGCCCCAATCAGGGCCGATCGGGGCCGGGCCAGCCAGGGGTAGGTGACGCAGGAGGTTGGCTGGCCGGCCACGCCCCCAATCAGACCTGTTGGCCAGCCACAGTGCACATCACAGCGACCAGTCATTCAGGTCAGTTCGGTCGCTTGGCTTTTATATATATAGATTAACATTCCTAAACTAAAATTTCCATTTTACCAACTGCTGTGGGCACGAATAACTGTAGACTCAGCTCCTGTGCCCCTTCATGCACTTTGCCCCGATGTTGAATGGGCACCTTCCACTTCGCCATGCAGCCAAGCTGACTCAGGGAAACCTTATCCCAGTCCACAGCTAGAATGAGCCACTGGGGGTAATCTCAGTCCCCTGCCCTGTAATCCTCAGCTAAGCCAACAGCACTGCCATATTTCTTCACAACTGGTGCTGGTCCAGATATGTGGCATAAATCAGCCATACTTTAGGAAAAGGCTATTTTTCAACATGAACAAGGGCAAGCATGTTTAACTCGGTGGAGCCAGCCTATGGGGACGGTCACCACATGAGGGAGCTGAGCAAGGGGAAGGAGAGGAAGGCAGAAAGGCAGAGGCAGGGCTTCATTTTCACCATGCATCCCCTACCTTCTCCTTCCCTTTGTATGAAATAATAACTTCCTTGTTGTTTAAGCCAGTTTGAAGTAGATGATCTCTCCTCTTCTGCTGAAAGTACCCTTACAGACAAACAGTGCTTCCCCAACCTGTCTGCACACTGGAGTCCCCCGGAGACTCAATTCCATGTTCCACTCAGAGGTTATGATGGGTTCGTGTGGTGTGTAGCTGCGTGAGCAAATGAACCTCTCAGCTCCTTTCCTCTCTGGAAATTCCAAAGAATTTATCACTGCCCAAAACTGACCAAGTACTCTGACACTCCTCACAGTGACAAAGATTATGTGTTCCCACTAGGACTCTCCCCAAAATGAAGGAGAAACTTTCATGCTTTGCAACAAGATGTGAGTCGCTCTCCAGCCACTCTGCTTGGATTTCTGCCTGATTTTTTTTCAAAAGATATTTGTTCAAGAGCCTTTTTTAGTAAAATGAGAATACAAATCTCTGTAAGTCACACGCTTCTGCGCCCAAGGAGCCGTAGTGAGTGGTCCCAACTGTTCATCAAGGATTCCTTTCTTAAATGGTGCAATGGATAAGAGGACAGAGATCTAGTGGGAGAGGAGGTCTCAAGTTTTGACTTCACTGTTAACATGACCTAATGCTTCTAACCCTCAGTACCTACTGTGTGGTAAACTGAGAAAAACAGTATCTGTTTCACCTATATAGTAGAGCTTTTGTGAGAATGATATGAGATAATACTATGAAAATTTTCAAAACAAAAAAGTACTCACTGAATGTAAGCCTAAGGAGTTAAAAATGAAGTCTAGACACAGCAGAGTCATCAAGAAGAAATGGCTTGGGGAGTTTGACCCTCTGCCAGCCTCCTCTCTTAGCTGGCCCCTTCACCTTTCCCCTCATCACCCTGCATAAAATCACAAGCTTGCTCTGTAAATGCAACTGTAAGACATGCCGTGGCCCTCCCTCACTTTCAACCAGATTGACACCCGCTGAGCCGCACACAAAAAGAAATCGACACCCTCTGAGCCGCACACAAAAAGAAATCGTAGGACTGCCACTCATCACTAATCGGCAGGAAGGCTGTTTTGTTGCATTGCCCCTCCCCCCAGGTTTTCAGAAGCACTCCACTTCATCATCGAGAGTATACCCCCGGGTATCACAATGCTATATCACTTCCCACTTGAATTATAATGTCTATCAAAAGAGGCATCTCTCAGGAAGCTTGAAAGCTAAGTGGGGAGTGATTTTTAGAGAGATGTGTGGGAAATGGTTTCAATATTTGGCAGTTCCTAAAGGCAGGATGATCTGAGATGTTGGTGTCTTGTTGTTTTTTAAATACTTGATCAGCTCATACTATTCCCTTATTTCTGAAAGTGCCTTGTCATTGGAATATTACATTTGGCCATTGCACCAAAGTAGAATTTTCATAAAGCAGAGGATTACAATTTTTCATTGATGCCATCATTTACCATGTTTCACATATATCGCACAAATGTATGTATTCACTAGGAAATCAACCTTTCTTTTACAGATCTCTCCATTAAAATGTACCACTCTGAAACTAAAGACATAGACAGTGCCCCAAGAATCGAAACAGCTGAAAGTCCTGCAAAAATGTATAAAGTGTCTACCATGAGACAAGTATTCGATTTGGCAAAGCATCGAACAAAAAGATCGGCATTTTTTCCAACTGGGGTTAAAGTCTGTCCACAGGAATCCATGAAACAGATTCTAGCCAGCCTTCAAGCTTATTACAGATTGAGAGGTAAGAAAAGAGATGAAACCTGCTTAGCCTTTTCTTCGTTCCATCCCTTCCCTTCTATTCATCTAGGGCTCATATCCAGCCCAGAACTTCCAGTCTGTCCTTTAGTCACAAGAGTTATAAAAATCTGCCAACTAATCGGATAGTAATGAATAATAAACATTCAAAACAACGATAGGTATCTGCTCTTATGTTTTATAATAATGATAATAATGTCCTGTGCAATACAGAGCCATCAGGGCAGTTAGCAAGTCACCAGGAAAGCCTTGGTCTCTGAGTCTTACCTCTTTTATTTTTGCCGAAGTCCAATATTGGACTTCAATGTTGTTATTATGAAGTAAGAAGCACGGGATGATTGCAATGTCAGGAACCTGAGCAAGTTGATTTATGACTTACCATTTTATTTTTCAAAGGCAACATTACAATCCAGATACTCTCTCCCTCCTTGATAAGGTTAAGGGGTTTATTGCTGATTCAGCAAAAACTTCTGAGGCTTGGAAACCTAGAGGCACGTCCAAGTGCAGGGGAGCCACAAGTGAACAGGGGTTACCAAGGTACAATGCAGGGGTGTGAATGGATTCACAGCATAATTACTGTGATTTCCAGCAGAGCTCCAGTGCAGTGTTTACCCCTGCAGAATTCTTACTGTGTCCCTGGGAGTCATTATGGAGTTCAGTGATACCACAGCCATCAGTGGCTGCCCTAGTCATTCACTTGGAAAAATTTCCATGGCTTTTTCTTGATAGGAAAAAAAAAGGGATCTTTAGTAGCTGCTATTTAATTCCCCAGGTAGCTCCAAATAATGCAAAGTATCTTGTCTAGCTGAAGGCTAAACTCAGTTCCTCTTATATGTGAAAGCTGAGGCGGTTTACTGATTCCCACCTTGATCTTACCGGATGTTTGCTTCCGTTCCAGAAAGCACAGTCACCCTGATCTATTTCAAGCCCATTGACTAAAGCGAGCTAGCTCACTTCCAGCCTGTGATGTGTTGCACATCATGACCCCCGAAAAGCATTTCATGATACTAACATCCCAACATGTTCTTGAGTATTTACATCTGTAATAGGTGCAAGTTTAAACTAATCTGGGGAGTTCTTATTGGGTTTTGGCGGCACAGTATCAAAAACATCAAGCCTTATGTTTCTCACATGTCTCATTTTATGTAGAAGTAGAGAGATATTTGCTTTCTGACAGAAGCCACACCCACAGAGAAACGGCAAGTACTGACTAGATCATAGCAGAAGGAGGACTCTAATCATAGAGAATCAAGTGCACCACACGAATATTCTGAGATCCTAGCACAGCCCCTCTGCATAGCTCGTTCTCACGAAATGCTGTTGATGAACACAGGAGGCAAAGAAAAGAGTGACATGTGTAAATTATTCATTTTGAATGTGCCTACACTTTGATTTGATAATGATATAGGTAAATTCCATTTTATTTGTTCAAGTATAAACATATAGTATATGCATCACCTTGAATATGAACACAGCTATTGCTAACTATTTCATGACACTTCTAATTCTTTATGACATTCACAAATAGGATTCATCACAAGTATTTATAGAAAACACTATTTATTGCTGCATCCAAATTTTTAGCTCTGAATTTTATTATTAGCTCTTTAGTTTTACTAGGTTTGCCTCTTTCCTTCTTGCTTCCCTAAATGAATTAAACCACTGTTTTTCTTCCCACGGCAATGACAGCCCATTATCTTTATGGCGGCCCCTGGGTGATATGAAATTTTACTATTCATCAACTGTGGGAAACTGTTTATTGCCTTCACTATCTGATAAGCATAGACAGAGAACTCCCTGAAACCCCTGAAGGCTGGGTGCCTTTGAAGCCCTAGCAAAGCTTGGAGCTAGGCGCCACCTCTGTTTGTCCAGACAGTGATAGCTGAAACTACTCCCCCATTTATTATTATGTAAATCCTTGCTGATGGGCTAGTCTGCTTGTTACTAAGGGGTCACCTGCCTAAGGGCTATGCTATGGGTGCATCCCAGATCAATAAAAGCTTGGTGAGGCCTGAGCAAGGAGGAAGTCCTTTGGGACTTGCCGCCTGGTCCCCCAATATTGCAAAATTATCTCGGGTCTTTTTCTCTCATTTGTTGTGCGGCTCCTCTTTCAGATACCGAACCCTACTCCACGCAGAATGTGGAGGGAGTCTTACTCGACAATCAACACGGGTTTCTTAAGTCTAACAAATTCAGTTCATAAACTAGAAATAAGGTCCAGCTACAAAGCAGTGTTTCTTTGACAGAGTTACCCACTTACTGTTCTCGTAGCTGCTTTTACAAAATTATCCGTTGACATCCTTCAAACAGGAGAGAGAGCTCCTGCATTCCCCAAATCAAATGGAATATCGAGCTATTTCTTTTCCCAGTGCTCAAAGCAACACAAGTGAAAATGTTCGCGGTAGAATCATAAACATGCTCATCCCAAAGCTCAGAGGCAAGTTTGTTTCTGCTAGTGTCCCGGGGAGGGGAGTGAGGGGCTGTGCTCCCACCCAGGTAAACTCCCTCTTCTGTGACTGCCTCCCTTCACACCATTTGCCCCATGTCTCTCCTTCTCTTTCCCTTCCTCCATTCTTCTATGTCTCTCCTCTCTCTCTTTCTCCCAACCCCAATATCAAAAGCTAGATCTTTCTTTCACATTAATTTGTGACTTAGAAAAAGTTAAAGATGGAGGGAATTCTAGTTCTTGCTACTCCACTATTGTCCACAGACCAGCAGCCTCACCATTACCAACCAGGTAACTTGCTAGACATTCAGATTCCCAGATCCCACTCCAGACCTACTCTCAGAATCTGCATTTTAATAACATCCCCAGGTAGCCCATTTGCACTCTCACATTCTAGAAGCACTGGTCTGAAGATCACCTAGCTAACACCCCCATTGTACAGATCAGAAAAGTGAGGGGACATGCTCAGTCAGGGCCCCCTTTGGTCACGGAGCAGTTAGAGCCCAGCATCCTGACTCCCACTTCAGTGTGTTACCTTTCCATCTAAAGTGTGCCCACTCCTGCGGTGGGCATTTTCACACACCATTGGTCTAACTTCATCCTTCCAAATATAAAGAACTATATAGGACAGTGATGGCGAACCTTTTGAGCTCAGGGTGTCAGCATTTTCAAAAACCCTAACTTAACTCTGGTGCCATGTCACACATAGAAATGTTTTGATATTTGCAACCATAGTAAAACAAAGATTTATATTTTTGACATTTATTTTATATATTTAAATGCCATTTAACAAAGAAAAATCAACCAAAAAATGAGTTCGCGTGTCATAGGTTCGCCATCACTAATCTAACAACAGGTCTGGCCTCCAAGGCCTGTGTTTCCTGGGGTTCTTCCTATATCTCAGAACAGCCTGGGGAGTGACATGCAGCAGAAAGTCTGAGGCTCTGTGGTCAGATTTCAGGCCGTGGCCAGCCACTGTGGGAAGACTTGGAGGCAAGGCTCTGGATTTCTCCAAAACCCCTTTGGCAATCCTTCTAGTAGGTGCAGAAAAGGCTGGTGCAGAACAGGTAAATCAAGGGAGTAGAAAAATCCAACTTTTAGTAGTTTCTAGACTCCTCCCAGACCCAAGATCCTTTGAGGCCTCATGTAAGGATTATTCTTATGCTATCTTGGTAAGGACAAGGGACTTTCCCCAGGGGTCATGGGCTGGAGCTCTTGTGCTCCCAATCCCAGAAGGATTCTATGCTTCCTGGTTTGTGTTGCGTTTCCAGGAGGCCAAGAAAATGACATCAGAAGAATCACCAAAAAACCCGCCTCCCAAAAAGAGTCCAAAGAAAAGCTTCTACTCCCTGTTTCATCCTAATATTTTGATCCCTGTAAACTACAATGCTCCAGGGAGGGCATTCTTCAAGCAGCTTCAGGCAATTGTGCTTTGGGGGGAAACCTCAGAGTCTTTGTGAAAAGTAGGTTTCAATGGGGGTGGGAGTTTTATGTGTCATTGAGGTGGAAAAAGGGGCAGAGCTAGGAAGATGCAGGCGCCAAAAACAAGCCTTAAACTGGACTGAAATAAAAGAAAGACACTCTGCCCTAGCTAGTTTGGCTCAGTGAATAGAGCAGCGGTCTGCAAACTGAAGAGCCGTGGGTTCGATTCTGGTCAAGGACATATGCCTGGGTTGCGGGCTTGATCCCCAGTAGGGGGCGTGCAAGAGGCAGCCAATCAATGATTCTCTCTCATCATTGATGTTTCTATCTCTCCCTTCCTCTCTGAAATCAATAAAAATATTTTTAAAGGGAACAATCTGAGACGAAAAGCAACACAGGCAAGAGTGTGTTGAACTGGTAAACAGAAGGAATGTCACATCTGTCTCCCAGATGTTTCACTCGTGGATATTGTTAGTGAAAGTCATTTACACTAAGCTCTCAAAGGCAGGGCTAGTTAATTGTATGTATTGTTGTATATCTGGCACTTAACTAGGCTTTTGAACTAAACTAACTGGTCTCATTGAGAAAAGGTGGAAGGACAAAGTAGCATCCCCCAAGAGAGTGGAAAGTATGTAGGTGAGAAGAATAGCAAGGCAGCTGGTTTGCTTGGACTGGACCCACAACTCTTAGAGTTTGAACAAATGTTGGATCCTTCTTGCATGGCACATAGACTCTTGACTGGAGGTGATGATCAAAAGACTTCACGATGATTGCTATCAGGAAGTGCGTTAAAACTCTCTGATCCTTGCCTGGCCGGAGAGAGATCATGTTCACAAACATGGGTTCTCCAGTGAGGGATTATTATATTGGTCTCCAGGTCACCCTTGCGCTTCCCCAAACGTGGAAAACTCAACGCTCATTTGAAGTGGTAGGACTGTACCCACTCCCAGCTTTGTGGGTTCTAGTCCGGTTGCTTCTGATGGCTTGGAATTCTCTTTGTCTCTTAAAACAGAACGATAAAAGAAATCCAGACATAGAATAAGTAGAGTGTGCGGGAGAATGAAGCCCAGGACCATGAATCTCTAAATTGTTCTTCTCTCACCTGGTTCTTCCCACAACCCCTTTCTCAGCACAGCAGTCAGTTTCTCTAGAAAATCAAGTGATGTCGGCTCTGCCCCAAAGCCTCCAATTGCTCCCCTTTCCTCTAGAGCAGCCGTGGGCAAACTACGGCCCGCGGGCCAAAATCGGCCCGTTTGAAATGAATAAAACTAAAAAAAAAAAAAAGACCGTACCCTTTTATGTAATGATGTTTACTTTGAATTTATATTAGTTCACACAAACACTCCATCCATGCTTTTGTTCTGGCCCTCCGGTCCAGTTTAAGAACCCATTGTGGCCCTCGAGTCAAAAAGTTTGCCCACCCCTGCTCTAGAGTAAAAAAATCAACATATTATAATTGCTTATAACAGAAGATATCTATCCAGTGGTTCTCAATGTTCCTAGTGCTGTGACCCTTTAATACAGTTCCTCATGTTGTGGTGACCCCCAACCATAAAATTATTTTCATTGCTGCTTCATAACTGTAATTTTGCTACAGTTATGAATTGTAATGTAAATATCTGATATGCTATATGTGTTTCACGACCCACAGGTTGAGAACTGCTAATAGTCCCCTAAAATAATTTTTTAATTTTATGCACATTTTTGCATGCTTTTAGTTGACTTCTAAAGTTTTTATCTTAAATTTAAATGCTTGGATATGTGTAACTTTTGGTGAATTGTAAATACTGATGTTGAAAACAAAATAAGAATTAGAGCATTCATATGTATCCAGTGGAATCTGCACAGCCCCTCATTACTTTCCATCTAATACTCTAAACAAATACATGAAGGAACTCTTCTTTATAGTAGGAGACATCGCATGGCTCCTTTTTCTCCACACACCCACACTTCCATTCCCACTTCAGAGTTTTATCTCATTGGAATTTATTGTAAGCTTGAAAATCTGTTATTGGTTGCTCTGAAATATGTCTCGGTAACAAAAAATATATGCATAAATTGAAATGTTTTATTCTCTCCTATTACTTTATGTGTACAAAGAAATTTCTTCTAGATTCAGTTACATTTATGATTACTTTTAATATGTAACTTAGCAAAACAAGTAGATACAAATTTCACCAAAAATTTTAAGCAAGTCATTATCAACAGATAGGTCTAAGACCAGACACAGGTTTTGTGGGCACTAATGTTCATAGACACAAAACTAGGAGCAAGGCCCTGGAAGAGGCCAATTTAAGTGAAGGACTCGAGCTTAAGCTGCATTAGCTTCGGCCTCTGGATAGACAGGGCTGCTTTGGTGGTGTCCCTCTATTAGCTCGTGTGCCATTACTTATTATTCATATCATGCATTGCTATAATAAGACAGGGCTTCGCATCCCTATTCTTTTACCCAGTTTCACTTAAATGCTGAGAAAACTTGTTACATAAATAAGTAGATGGGAACAGAGGGAGTTTTGTTCTAGTAATATCCTGATTCTTTAAGTTCCCTTGGCATTATATGCTAACAGACACATCATGAGCTGTCATTGTTATTTTTAATGATCTATATCAGATGCTGACTCCATTAGAACTCCTAATGTGTTAAAAGCAAAGAAATAGAAATCACCCTAATTGCAAAAATCCATTCTGACTAAATTCACCTGCTTTCTTAACCTCAAAGCTATGGCTTGTTTCAAATCATGCCTTTGTGTGGCAGCCGAGGGGCACTGGGCCCCAATAAGATTAGGGATGAATGAATGGGGGAAGATGGTGATCAAAGGGAAAATGAAGAAGGAAAGGTGTGACCTTAGGCAGACCATTATTAGGAAAACATGATGGGAAAATTGAGAATAGAAACTAATTCTATTTAAACTGTTTGTGTGCCTGCTCATCCCTTGGAAAACCTTCAAATATAGCCAGTACCTATGCCCAGTTTGACGACTATCTGTGTTCTCCTCTCCACATCTTTCAGTCTTCATCCTCTGTTACTCTCAGCCTTGCTCTGGCCACACTGACCTCCTTGCTGTTCTTTGCATGCTCATAGATTTCTCTAGCCTTGGAGTCTTTTCCCAAACTGCTCAAAGTCACCTTTATAAGGAGGCTTTCTTCAATCACCCTATTTTAAATTGAAGTCTTACACACACACACACACACACACACACACACACACACACACATTCAAATTCTCTATCTTCAAATACCCTATCTCCCTTTTTTTATTTTTCTCCATAGCACATATAGGTGCTCAATAAATAGTTGTTAAATGAATTCATTTCTCTGGGCTATAAGTTAGTGTGTCAGCATAAGCCATGCAAAAGCTTTCCATGTTATAAGCCTGTGCTTGGGTGGGGAGAAGGGGATCTTCTACTCCTAATGGCGCTGCATTGCAGTGTGCCAGGAAGCAGTGTGGGAAGCCTATCGGATCTTTCTGGATCGCATCCCCGGCACAGGGGAACACCAGGACTGGGTCAGCACCTGCCAACAGGAGATTTTCTGCCTCTTTGACATTGGGAAAAATTTCAGCAACTCCCAGGAGCACCTGGATCTTCTTCAGCAGGTGAGTCTGAACACTGTATGTGTGGAACGCTGCCCAGATAGCTCCCACACCTCCAGCCCCCACCCTTTTTTGACTCGGTTTCCATGGCAGAAGGGTTGGTGGAAGATATGCTTGGAAATACCTGACAAGGCCAACAAGAATTTTATTCTTGCAAAATAACAATGTATGTGAGGGTTGAAGTGAAGTTAAAGGGAAAGGGGGATGAAAATAGATTTTAGCTCTTCAGTTGACATTATCTCTTAGTAAAATTACTTTTCTATTTCTGCAGAGAATAAAACAGAGTAACTTCCCTGAGAGGTAAGTACCCAAAATAGAGTGCTGCATGCTCTTGACTTTTGAAAGCTAACATAAGGGAGTGACTCAGCTATTGTATCTTTATGGTGTTATGTCAGCCTCTGAAGTCTGTGTAGGTTAGTCTAACATGACAGACAATCTATACTCTATTGTGCTACACATAAATGAATGTATAAAAGGGAATGGTTAGCTCTTATAGACTAAGATATACTAGGTGTACTGGTTAATAATGCAGATTTTTTTTCAATAGATGGAGTTACACATACGTTGATATATATGCGATTTGATATGTATGCTATTTTGTTGTATTGACAACAAGCTTCAAAACTTCATATGTCAAATTTTCAGAAAGTGTTAACATCATAGATATTTTTATGCTTAAAAATGTTGAATTTTGTGCCAAAAAAAAGAGCACTATTAACTGGTTAATATTTAATCTGCATTTTTAACCGGTCAATAGTTAATCCACATTATTGACCGGTCAATAGTTAATCCTCATTATTAACCGGTACACCTAGTATGTTTGCGCTATTATCAGATAAAAGTATGAATAAGTATCTAATGTGTATTTTCACTTATAAGATATAGAACAATTAAAATAGTATGGTTTTTAGAATTCATGATAAATTATTAGTTACATCAGGAAGATATTTAATACGATCAACAAGCAATCTGAATTTGGAATTCTTGTTTGGTATTCTGTTAAGTGTTAGTGTTTCTCAAACTAAATTAGTGAAGAACTGAGCTAAATCCTTAACAAGAACAGAATATCAAATGCAAAAATCAAAATGTAAAAATAAAAAGGAAAAGGAAAAGTATATTAGATAAAATGATTAAAGAAGAGAGATGTCATTGCCAATTATAACCTCACAAATTACATATATTTTATAACAGAAGCCTAAGTATGAAGACAATGATACTACAAAGAGAGGCTGTATGGATTCCTGACAATTCTCTATAATGCTTTTCACATTTGTTCCTTTATTTCTATTCCCTTTGCCAACCATCTGGTCCAGGACTTTATTGATTTACACTGTGAAAAATGTCAAATCTGATCTCCCTAACAGCTATTGCTGGCTCTAACCTCTTCCCTACCTTAACTTTTATAACTGCTGAAGACTAATATGTCTGAAATATTCCTTTTCCTACATTGAGTCCTGTTCAATGGCTTTCAAAAGCTTCCCACATCTTTACTTTTGCCATTCTAAATACCCACTCCCCACACTTCCTCATCTACCCTGTGCAGAAGTCTGAGCAGGGACTGAGTCCCTGGCATTTCGTGCCCTCTAACTGCTGGATTGGGCCAGCCAGTGAGGAACAGAATATCAGGAGGGGGAAGAATGGAATGAGGTCAGCAAATTTGTCACCTTCCCTCACCCCAACTTGCAAAGTCTTCGAGGGCTACTGGTCTCCTTCGGCTTCAGCTCAGTGCCTGTCGGGCAGCCCTTGCCACAGCCTTCTCTGTCTCTAGTTTGTGGTATCTGTTCCATCCTCTCACCCGTCCTGGCCAGAGTGCTCTAGCACCCACTGTTACCAGCCCCAGGCTCTGCACCCTCACTTGTGGTTGCTTTTAGACTCGTCCCACAGTTTAGCAAGTAATCCCTTTATTAAATTTTTCTCAGAGTCTGAGTGAGACCTCTGTTAGCTGCCAGGACCTTCAGTGAGGCAGAGACCAAACTAACTAATCTAGGCCCTTCAGAACCTGACCTTCCAACTTTGCCTTTCATTTCCCATGATCCCACCACTGCCACTGTGCCCTTCCCCAGGGCACACAGACCACACCCTCCTCCTCCCAGACTCTGATCCCAGGGCCTGTATCTTGGCTGGAAGAACCTGCCTTCCCCATTCCATCTCTCCAAACCCTGTTCCCCTTCCAAGCTCCCAGGGCAGCCCCACCTCCCCAGGATGTCTTCATCTGCAGTAATTTCCCTGTGCTTTGAATTATCTGTTCTGTTTGTCGCTTGCCTTATTACTTAGCATCTCCTTGCTCTACCCTGTTTCCCTGTGAGAGTGCAAACATCTCCAGGGCAGGAACTGTTTTATATTTCTCTACCAACTGCTACAGAACTGAGCAAAGTCCTCATATATTTATAATATATAATTGCCCTCAATATATCTATCTTTTTATACTTTTTTATGAATTTTTAAAAGTTACTGCCAGAAGCAAGAAGGTGACTTAGGAAAATATTAGTACTATTGTTCACAAGACACAAAGATATTGGCTCCTCTGATTTAAATATAGAATAATACTTACTGACTCCTACATTTCCCAAAAAGAAAGCAGAGGCCATTCCTAGAAAAAAATCCAACAGAATGTAGCAAGACTCTATAGAAAAACATTTTAAATTATAGGAAACAATTATTCAAGCCAGAATTAGAAAAGAAATAGAATCATTCCATCTATTCCTGTGCCTGCCAGCATTGCTAGGGAGAAAAACAAAAGAGATAAACATTTTACATTACCTGTGGTTACCAAGTTGTTGTTTAAAAGAAAAAAGAGAGAGAAAGAAGGACAGAAGCAGCTCTTTTACTTCCAACATTTCCAAGAAAACAAAACAGAAAAATTTCTCACCTGACTAGTCCATCAATCTGCCAGTTTCAAATGACATTAAAATAATGAAGAACCCAGCAGCCTGGCTTGCCAAATTGTAGATCCTCCGTGATGGTCATTGCCAGTGTAGTGGCAGAATCACACCTTCACAAAGTAGGCTGTTGACTTGTAGCTAGTGCAATAGCCAGCATTTCACTAACTACTCTTCTTGGTTATTTTCTTTTGTACAACAAGGTAAAACAATGATGCCAAGGTTCTGACAGGAGGAAGGAGACCTTACTTTAAAGAAAGATCTATAAAATAAAAAAGAAAGAAACTTATCTAAATTTACAAATGCTATAATGATGTTATGAGAGTTTACTAAGTATTACTTCCATAAAAACTATTAAACTCATAGCATAATACTGGCAAAAGCAAACAAGAATAGCTAATTCCAAATTCCACTATAAAGTCTGAGTTTAATTTAGCCTATGTGCACCAATATAGTCATCCATGTATACCAGTACAACTGACATTCAATCTGATTGGTTAGAGCCCAGGACAGGCTGATTGATATAGTTTGTGCATTACCCCTATTAGCACTTTGGCAGAACTGAATGTGGCAGAAATATGTCCCATTGGCTATATGGCAAATCTATATGAATCCACAACAACAGAGCACCTAGCCATTCCCTTTGGTCTTTCATCATCATGAGCCACAGATAATTGAATCAAATATATTGGTCAACCATGACTATATTAAACAAACAGACACAATCCTTTGAGACCTAATAGCTTACAGTAACACATCTTAAAGTAAGCTTCAAAAGATATTACTACTGCTATTCCTTTCTAAATAAAGCTTACATTACATGCAGACAACTCTATAACCATGGCCTTGGATCTGCCCTTAGAATATATTCTGCATTGCCACTCCATGGCACTGTGAACTTACTCACAATGCATGCAATGGTTATGTTCAGAATAGAGATTTAATACAATTGCATTATCCAGAACTCTCTCCCTATCCCATTACTGTAGCCACAAGTTACTTTATTGGATAAACTTACTGACTCTCTGCATTTGTAGGTTTGAAAGTCTGAGATTTTAGCAAGAATATTTCAGTCATGGACCAAGTCATCAATTATCTTTGATGTCAAGGGCACAGTTTAAGCAGAAAGGACTATAAAACATCAGGCCCCCAAACCATCTTTGCTATCAGGGACAAGTTCCCCAGGACCATGAAAAGCCAACATGCTTATGAAAAGCCCCGCAGTCAAACAACCATTTGGGGAGGGTTGTTTGAATTTTTCTTCAATTAAAATATATTAGAAGATTACTTCTGCAATGAAAAAAATAAGTAAACCAGTTTTAAAGTATACTTTTTCTCTAATTTTTAGGTTTATTCAATATAGACGAATTTAAATGCATTCCCCCTATTATCATGCTCCTTTTTACCACTTCTTCTCTATTTTGCTAACAGAAAAGATGAAATATCCACAGAAGAGATATTAGGAGAGCCTGGTAAAACTCCCATGTTTTCAACAGGTAAGCTTAGGTCTTATTCCATCTGCTTCTGAACCTTAATTCAAATCATCAGGAAAGCATGCTATTTGAAAAGCAATCCTTAATTGAAGTTGACAAAATTTATAATGTACTTTCTCAAAACCAGCTTGTATGTCTAACCTTATAAAGTAATTTAAACTTATTTTATGAAACTTGAAAAATCTAGAAAAGAACAAAAACAAAACCAAATTGTCCGTTATTCTACAACTTAGAGGCAGTAATTACCAATATTCCCAACAAACAAATTCAGGATAAACCTTTGTCCATGCGTCCTTTACATAGTCGCCAAAAGAAAAATTAACCAGGTCTCCTTAGGCAGAGCCATTTAACTGAAACATATCTGAGAGAGCACCAAGCTTGGGTCCTAGAAAGAAAGACAAGTTGGGAGGAATAGTATTAGTTCTATTTTGCTCAAGAACATATTTATGTGATCTTAAAATAAAAATGAGCTCAGCGTGGATCTAACATATTTAAATTCCAGAGTGACAGAAAAAGTATGTGAAATGTTTTACCTGTTCTAATGTCAACTCCTCCAGTCTCATTTTTGTGCCTGCTATTTTTTAAATTCCCACAGATGTTGCCGATGTCTCACTCAGGCCCTTCCCTCTCACTCCTGAGGACACACTCCTCAATGACACCAAGATGCCTACAACAGTAAGAAGTTCTGCGAGTCAATCCAGCTCCTCACAGGCCTTTTTTGTCTTAGTAAAATGGACTGGCCGTTCAGTATTATTAGTACTGCATTTTTATCGCTCTAGTGAAGAGTCATTGACTTTGTTCTATTCAGTATGCTCACTTCTTCCTAGGGACTGAGGAGTAAAATACACTGAAAACTAGGGGTAAGGTGTGAGGAAGTGCAAGAAGCAACATGAGTATAAACTCCAGGAAGGCAGGGGCTCTTTTCCCAGCGCCTAACAGAGGATTATATACAGCAGGTGCTCACCAAGCTTTAGAATGAATGAATGAATGAATGAATGAATGAATCTTCCCGTCAATCAGGTTCTTTCTCCACTGAAGTGTCATCTCATCTCCTGCTGACAACAAAGGTAGAAGTTTTGTGCTTAGTCATGTCCAGCAGGAAAAGGTGATATAAATATCAAAATGATCGAAATCCTTCATGTCAAGTGGGGAAAAATAAAACCAGTGTTCGCAGGTAAAGAAGAGCACTGACAACTGCTCTGTTTGAATCAAAAAAGCATGCAGGAGGAGAGAATTGTTACAGAATTTAATGTTGGTTATCAAAAAAAAGGGGGGGCATCTTTAAACTTCCCAAAGGCTTTGATCCAGACACTCAGGGCTGAAGCAGGAAACAGTGGTGGAGTTGTGGCAACACAAGGTAGGCAGCAGATCCTCTCAGCCTTACAGGGCCACTGCGACCAGTTCTACCAGCCCCTGTGGTCCGTGAGACTTCTCTAGCCCTTTCTTCTTCCAGATGGTGAGGGCAGGAAGTTCAGTCTCGCCAGCTCGACATGAAAATTCAGGGATGAGAATCCTGCTGGCCACTCTCTCCCTGGCCTTTAGGACAGATGGCCACAGATTTGGTGGGAGTATGGTTATGAACAAAGAATAAAAGGATTTTATTCTCAAAAAATGCTCTTCCATCAACAGTGAAAAGTGCTGTTGAAAAAAATTATTGAGATTAAATATATTCACTGTAAAATTTATAAGATAACTACAGTTTGCCTTCTCTTTTCTCCCATTACCTGTGTCCCCCCTTCTTTAAAATTTAATATACGTCCCTCATCCTGCAGTAAATATCTCCTGAATATTTTATTTCACACTCATCGCATCCTCTTCTTATCATCCTTTTTACCAACTGCATCTATTACTTATTCTTTCATTCAGCAAATATTTAACTAAAATTCCTACCTTTAGGAAATTTATAATGCAAATAAGTACAACAAAATAGTCTAAGTGCAATGATTGAAGATGACAGATGTATAGACTGGGACTAATGATAGGCTGGGACAGATTGCAAAGGACCTGGCCCCAAATCATGTATATTTACTGAGAGTTTTATTCATAAATTGTCTTGTGTGTGTGTGTTTTATTTGGGAGAGTCCATGAAGTGTGAGAATCATGCTGGACTCAAGGAGATTATATGTGGGATGACAAGATTAGCACAGGGGTGGGGAACCTTTATTCTGCCAAGGGCCATTTTGATATTTATAACATTATTCACTTAATATAATTCACTTAATATAAATTTATGCTGCTAAGAAAGTAAAGCAGATTTATTAAATTTTGAGTCCTGCCTGCGGTTGCCTTGGCAGTCCCAGACCAAATGATTTTCCAGGCCTTACATTCCCCGCCCCCTGCTCCAGGTGAATACATCATTGGTACCAAATGAGCAATTCAGATGTTATTCGCTGTTCTAGAAGGTCAGAGGAAAGGCAAAGTTTTCTGACCTAGATAGTCAGAGGGGATAGTTCTTTTAATGGACTATAAGACTAGGAGATATTAGTAAGAAGTAAAAAAGAATCTGTATATGAAGTAATGTGTGTGTGTGTGTGTGTGTGTGCGCGCGCACAGCTGCTGGAGGGGGTCATGGGGGGCAGTGAGGAGGGTCTCCAGTCAGGAGACTGCACAGCAGTGTAGTCCTCAGCAAGAGTGAATGGAGCTCCCTGCATTGGGCAGGGAGAAGTGAGACAGACCAAAGCTGTTCAAGCAGTTCGGCATCAGATGGTGGCGAGTCAAATATCAGGAAAAACAGTTTGGGTTTTATCCCACAGGTAATTAGGACATCCTGAGAGTGCTGGGTGAGAGGCATAAAACATTAATAAGTGGTTGAAGGTAAGTTACAAAACTTCTCACTAATGCCTCCAAAGGATTTACTGAAATGTCTCTTGTGAACTTCCTATCTGCCTAATGGAATGGTAAGCTTCTAGAGCAGTGGTTCTCAACCTTCCTAATGCCACGACCCTTTAATACAGTTCCTCATGTTGTGGTGACCCCCAACCATAAAATTATTTTCGTTGCTACTTCATAACTGTAATTTTGCTACTTTTATGACTCGTAATATAAATATCTGATATGCAGGATGTATTTTCATTGTTACAAATTGAACATAATTAAAGCATAGTGATTAATCACAAAAACAATATGTAATTATATATGTGTTTTCCGATGGTCTTAGGCGACCCCTGTGAAAGGGTCGTTCGACCCCCCAAGGGGTCGCGACCCACAGATTGAGAACCACTGTTCTAGAGGATAACACCATATGCCATATTTTTTTCCAATGTCCCATAGGTCCTAGCACTGTGCTACACCCACACAGATGCTCAGTGTGTATCATTTGAATGATTAAATGAGCAAGTGGATGGATGGATGGATGGATGGATAGATGGATGGATGGATAGAAACCTTCCCATTAAACAAATACCAGTAGCCTGGTAAGTGTAAATACACATCCTCCACGTGTCCTATTAAAGTGAGAGGCTGTTCTGCTGTTCATTGCCCGTGGAAGAAGGAGTCTGTGATAAGAAATGAAGCGAAGATACATCACCACCACCCAGATGAGTTTTGCCTCTCATGGAATTTTCCATTGGTTGTGCCTGTCTCTCAGCTTCCACAACTCTACTATCTCTATAAGAAACTGTACGTTACCAGAGACAATTGGTTTTCCACAGACACATTTTTTACTCTTGGGAGGAAGCTGTGCAGATCTCAGGATTGTGTGGGTACCCAAGACTGGAAATCTGTCCAGCCCCAAGTTTGAAACACAGCTCCAGGTTTATTCTGTGCCCTGGGAGCCCACGTGAGTGGAGAACAATGAGACACTCCTGCTTGTTCTCAAACCAAAGGACAAAAAGGATGAACCCTGGCCCTTTGTGATCCTCAGAACAGCACTGCTATTCTCAGCCACATGCTTTCAAAGGTGGCCCAAATATGCCATTTTCTCTGAGAGAGATTTCACACCCTCTCTTGACTTGACAGTGCTTTCTAACCAGTTTCAGTATGAAATTTAACCACAGAGTCTCATTAAACCAGTCTAGACTCTTCTCTAAAAAGGGTTATATTAAATAATACCAGCGTCCATAGGTTATTTTGTATAATCCAATCCTTATCAGAGAGTGTTTATAAAGTTACAAAAGTGTGTGGCACAATCCTACTGATGCTCCAGCAAAATATATGAATTGTGTGTGTGTGTGTGTGTGTGTGTGTGTGTGTGTGTGTGTGTGTGTGAATGCTTTCATGAAGAGCACAGTCATAAAATGACTATGTTCTCAAAGATTCAAAGTAGTTCATTCATTGGAACTTTGGTGCTTTGTCTCTCAGTGAAATTCACAGGCCACTTCTAGTTAGTAGGACTTTCATTCTAAAAATACTAGAGCCTTCATAATCCAATTCTTGAGACAAAATCAATAAATATTGTATAATATTACCATTTGCTTGTGACGTATATTGATAGAAGACCTTTTTAACTTAGAAAAGAGAAATGGAACCCTCTGCGGTATCCGAGGGCCCGCCGGAGCAGAAGGTGGGGCTGAGCATCTCCCTGGCAAACCAGAAGTTCAAGGCAGAGCTCGCTGATGCCCACTCGCCATATTACCAGGAGCTGGCAGCAAAGTCTCAACTCCAGGTGAGTGAACCACAGCACAAGTCTAGACTCAGAATCTGGGAGCCAACAGGAAACAAACGTTTTTGGTTAATAATTCCACCTTCTGGAAAGTAGGGGAGGGCGGGGGTAAGGGGAAGAGATCAACCGAAGGACTTGTATACATGTATATAAGCCAAACCAATGGACATGGACAACAGGGGGATGGGAGCATGAGTTTGTGTGTGGGGGAGAGGTTGGGGGTTAATGGGGGGGGATGAGGACACATTTGTAATACCTTAACTAATAAAAAAATATATATATATATATTTAAAATAAAAAAAATTTAAAAAAATTTAAAAAAAAATAATAATTCCACCTTCTTGTGATCAGGCATGCATTTTTAACCACTGCAAAATAAACAAATACACCAAAAGCTGCAATGGGTCTCAACATGTTAGGAAAAAGTGGCTCTCCAGGAAAGTTTTCTGTTCCAGCTTTTCCACCTTACAAGTCCTTCACATTTAGATTTTCTTCATATAGTAATAGGTTGTAAATCGCATTTAGCGGAAAGCCACTGAGCAGATATTCTAGATGTCTAAAATGTCCGTGTGGACACCAGCTAGGGAATATGCTGGGGTGAAATATGAATTTTGAATCCATATTACCTTGTCTTCCATAATATTTCCACTTTTGCCGTCTGATGCAGCTTAAAGCCATGGCATTTTTCATGGGTGACAGGCAGAAGGCAGTTATGTCATCCATGACATCCAGCACTAAACTAAGGACCTGCCCCAAGATGTCTCTTCCATCTCTGACCATCATCCTATCTGCCTATCCCTGATCAAATTAAACGGCTCTTCATTCCCTGCAGGAGAATCCAAACTACTCTGCTGAACATGGCAGCTGAATGTCATAACACACTGCCTTTCTTCCCAGCCTCATCTTAACACCAGTTCCTTACCATCCCCCTCCTTTGCACTCTACTTTCTCACCGTTAGTCTTTATAAGTAATGCCTCCTCCATCCGGAGTGCCCTTCCCCGAGATTCATTTTGCGAACATCATGAAAAATTCTCTCTATCCATTCTGGGTTCACTCCTCTGGGCTAACGCCTGGGCCCACTGTTGCCATAACACGATTACTCTGTACTGAGATTGTCTGTTTATATGTCTATGGCCTCTGTTGTCTCCATTCCTCCCTCCTCGTCCTCCCACCACCCTCACTAACACCAGGCTATGAGCTTTCCCTTAAGGGCAGAAACTCTTGCTTTCATCTCAGTAGCCTTAGCTCCTAATACAGAGCTTGGGATGCAGCAACTACTCAGTACCTGTTTGTAGAAATTCAACTGAAAACAGAAGCATCCATGAGATTACAAAACTGTGAACTATGTCTATGGACAGCCCAAGCATCTTATTGAGCAAGGCCAGGGGACAAACAGGCTCCACTTCTCGTACTCCAGTGCTTACCCGCTGTCAACTGGAGAGGAGCTAAGAGAAAAACATTCACAACCTCCAACCTCTCCCAGCATCAGCATAGTCAATAAAACGTAGAACATCATTTCTGCAAACTTCAAAGAGAAAGCATCAGCATGGGGTATTTACGAACCAGAAAAGTACTTAGACATGGACTATTAGATAGAATGCATTTTTAAAATAGTCTGTTATCTTCTATTTGCTCTTTGAAATATTCTCTTCAGCAAATCCTTAGCATAGTCAGAGTAATGTCAGAATTGGATAATTGGCCATAGACTGTCTGCACTTCACCTGTGAATTTTCTAAGCACCTAAAACTACCTGATGTGGAGTAATACAATTAAATTATAATTTTTTAAAGATCTTAGCTGTAGTCTTGTTTCTGCCAAGAAATAGCCATAAAGATTTGAGGATCACTTCCCTGACCTTAGATTCCTCATTTAGAAATTAAAGATGACCTCAAAGTCCCTTTCCAAATCTACTTCTATGTAGAGAAATAATACCACTGTACTGGTCTTAATGTTTTATATGTATTAACTCATTTCATTTTCACACAAATCTATAAGTTAAGTGATATTATTTCTTTTTTTTTTACAAGTCAGGATACCAAGGCAAGAGGAAATGAACTAAATGCTCAACAATGTCATACTAGTAACTGGCAGAGCCAAGACTCAAACTCAGGCAGCCTGGCACCAGAACCCCTGCTCTTAGCCACTATGCTCTAATTCCTATTTTTCCCAAATACACATATTTATGGGGAGAGGATTTTGTATCAAATAAACATGCCTTTCTAGCCTCTGAAATATTCATTAGTCAAGGAAGAGTATATCTCACTTGGTCTGGTTGCAGAGACCTGCTGGTTCCATTGCACGGGTCTCTGGCTTCTCTCAGATGGACCCCCTCCGCTTCGAGCATCTGTTCCCCTCCCAGGCCCCTGGGTAGTCTGGACGCCTCAAAGCCAGCCATCACATAACCAACCAGCCTCACCACAGCCTAGCACTTGCATTAGCACAGTCATTTGGACCTAATCGGGAATTAATGGGCAGTGCTTTGCAGTAATTTAATTTCCACAATAAACTTAATGAGCAATTTAATACAGATGTCAAAAGGAATGCGTAGTTGTTGTCTGAATGCTTTCTCCTATGCAAACATTCAGGAGAGCTCCACACAGCTGCCTTTTTATAGCCCCGTTAACGTACATTCTGGCAGAATCCAGGAGGCCCCTGTGCATTTAGTGTTATTAATAAGGTCAACTGGACACTTAATTAGTAATTTAGTGGTTAGTGCTCCATGATTGGAAGATTCCCGGAAGATTATTTAGCAGAATTAACTGAAGGCCTTTGTCATCTCCTCCCTAGACGCCTCCCGCACCCTCCTAAGTAAAGCTGCTTCTGAATCCATCAGAGGCAGGTTCACAAAGAGGACACAGGCACAGGCAATAAACCCCCCCACTGGAGCCGCTGCCGTGAGCGCCCAGGAGGGGAGGACAGCTCTCCGGGCCATGCATCCTACTGCCTAAGCTAATAGCTGTGGGATTCCATGGGAGCCGTTCTGTGCTTGATTGATTGTATCTGCATGCATCACAGCATCTCTGGTATCCTAGACGAGAAAGAGAGATGAGTTGGGGTCTGAATCTTCTGCTCCAGAAACTATTGCTCATTCTTCAACATCCAGTCCTAGGTGGGGTAACTGGGATGGCATGACCAACTTTGTGACTCAAAACTATTTGTCCAGGAGCAGACCTGGAGCATGGACACAGCTCTCTCCCACCGGCCCCATTATAAAGACCAGCTCTGCAGAACCCGATCTCCTAGCTAGCTCATGGTGGGGTAGGAGTGACACCACAGAAACATTCCACGCCCCCTGTCACTGACCGCTACAGGGACCCTCTTCCTGTCCTTCCCCGAACTGAGTCTTTCTAAAACAACTACTGAAGGCTTACTCTGCCCCTGCCAGGCTCTGTGCTGTGTGGCCCTGGAGGAAGTCAGAGATCCTGGGGCAATCAAGGAGCTAGTAACCCAGAAGGAGACTAGTAAATAGACAAAATATCACTGCCTCTCTCCCCACTGTGTGTCAGGTATGTGTTATTCCTTACAGCAGCCTTATGATATAGGTGTTATTACCTCATTTTGGTTAAGGGAACCAAGATTCAAAAAATTAAGTAATAAACTCAAGGTCATACAACTAGAAAGTTGAGAACCAATATCTGAACTCGAGCTTATACATTTATCTCCTCATCATCCAAGCTTATTCATTTATCTTCATCACTGCAGTTGCTACACACAACATATTTTTAAATTGAGAGAAGAAAATATGACTAAGAAGATAAATCAGTCTGCTGAGAAAAAAATAAATCCATGATATATTCCAAAGCCCAATGTATGTGATTTGGGGATTATCTGTGCATCGCCGCTCTAGTCCTTGGCGTAGATAATGAGGATTTGGCAGTAATTTTAGATACAGTGACAATGCAGTGGCATGTTGGTGAGTTTAGGCAGAAAAGATGCACTCAACTTGATTAAACAAAATGTGCTGAGTCCCTCCTATGTGGATGACAATCTGGTAGGCACTGGGAAGGAGAGAGATAAAGATGAATAAGTAAGACATGATCCCTGAGCCCAAGGAGTATAATCTCTGTGAGGGACACACATGCACCTCCCAGGAAGTTTAATGGAAAATACAGTAATACATCCAAGAGTGGTAGGGAGAAGAAATAACTGAACCTGACTTCAGGGCCCTACAAATGCTTTTCAATAGAAAAGATATCTGAGCTGGCTTTGAAAGATGGGTTGGGGGAGAGGGGTGGTCAATGAACAGAAGGTGGAAGTGTAAGGCCGCTGAAAACCCCCCCCTTCCCCCTGGACCAGCCTTTCCAGTAAGCTCTGGTTAATGTAAAGATTAAAGAGAACTTCCCCCTCCTGACCTTTCCCGTAAAGCTCTGGCGCCCTGATCTGGTCATAGCATAGTTATCTTATCACTCCTCGGGATCGGCCTGCGCATACCAGACCACCCTGGCCCCTTAGGAAATGAGTCAACTAATAACAAAGACCTGTCCCTGTAAAAGATGAGTTATGAGTTAACTGGTAACCCAGTTCCCTGTTTTCCGGCCACCTGCGTGTGGTTTTTGCCTTTATAAACCCGTGTTCTGCAATTGCTCGGGGCTCCAGTCAGCAGCACTTCCTTTGTGTTGTTGCCTGCCTGCCTGAGAGCCCCTGCGCTGCGCTTGTAATAAAAATCCTCTTGCTCTTGCATCAAGCCTCGGTCTCTGCGTTTGACTTGGGGTCGTCGCCTCCTCTGCTGGACTCTCCGGGGGTCTTAGGGCCCAACAGAAGATGCACCTTGGTCTAAAAAAAAAATGTATAGATGTCTGGAAGAAGTACACATTGTATTTGGGGAGGGACAGTGGTGAGTTTAATGTGACTAGAGGAGACAATATTGGCCAAGGGGGTAAATGGCAGGAAGGGCAAATGGTAAGGTACCCGGGGAGAGAGGGTAAACTGTGAAGAGCCTTAAATGCCATTCTGAAGTATTACTAGTAGATCTTAGTCAATGGGCAGTGCAGCCCATCAAGAGATTTTCAGTGAAGAGTGACAGATATGGAATGATCAACTTGGAAAAATATTGTAGTCAAAAAGACATCTCCCCATTTTCCCCAACTCCAACTCATAAAAAAAAAGAGAGAGAGAGAAAGAAGAAGAAGGAGGAGAAGGAGGAGGAAGAAGAAGAGGAAGAAGAAGAGGAAGAAGAGGAAGAAGAAGAAGAAGAGAAGACGAAGAAGAGAATGATGGGAGGATGGAGGAGGATTGGAGGTATTAGGAGGCTGAGTAGGAAGAATAAGAAGAAGAAGAAGAAGAAGAAGGAGAAGGGAAGGAGAAGGAGAGGATCAGGAGAAGGAGAAGGAGAAGGAGGAGGAGGGGGAGGAGGAAGGAGGAGGAGGAGGAGGAGGAGGGAGGAGGAGGAGGAGCAGGAGGAGGAGAAGGAGAGTGAGACGAGAGGAGAAGGGATGAAAGGAGAGGAGAAGGAGAGGAGAAGAAAGGAGAAGAACGACTAAGACAAGAATGACGTTATAGCGGAGTCGGATTCTAGAAGTGCGTGGTTGATGATATAGTCCATAAGAAGAAGAAGAAGAAGAAGAAGAAGAGAGAAGGAGAAGGGAAGAAGGAGAAGGAGGAAGGAGGGAGGAGGAGGAGGAGGAGGAGGAGGAGGCGGAGGTGGAGGAGAGGGGAGGAGGCGAAGGAGAAGGAGAAGGAGAAGGAGAAGGAGAAGGAGAAGGAGAAGGAGAAGAAGAAGGAGAAGGAGAAGAGAAGGAAGAAGAAGAAGGAGAAGAGGAAAGAAGAAGGAGAAGAAGAAGAAAGGAGGAGGAGGAGGAGGAGGAGGAGGAGAAGAAGAAGAAGAAGAAGAAGAAGAAGAAGAAGAAGGAGAACATTTATCTTCCCTTCCTCCCACACACCCAGAAAACCATTTTGGTAATACAGAAAGGGCTTTAGGGAGGGGCATGGGAATAAGAAGAATATGATGGAAACAAAAGGCATGTAGGATTCAAACAAACAGGCGAGGTGACTGGATGTGAGGGGCACAGAGGAAAGGTATCTGGGGATGCTGGGCTCTCTGGCATGGAAGGTGAAGGGTGTTCACAATCCTGACTGAGACAGCACCCAGGAGGAAAGGCAGACTTGGAGGAAGAGAATTACCCAGGTTTGCGACTATGTAATTAGTGACAAAGGTTGGGATATTCACGTGGAGAACTCCAAGTTGTATGTCAGGTGGCCATTGAAGCCATGGGAGAAAATGGGATCCCCAAGGAGAGGCAGAGGGAAGTGGGCACAGGGAAGGGAGGACAGGGCCGAGGCCCTATTCACCTCTTCAGCCTCCCTCACGGTCACCCTGCTCTCCCTCCCACGCTTCACTGCTAGACTGTCTTGTCTTCCTCTTGGTTTTGCTTGCCTCCCAGGCTTCATACAAGTAAGTAGGATAGGTAGTGCCCGTTCATCTATGTGACAATGTCTGGAGGGCCTAGCAGAGCCCATAGTCGAGCTGACTGAATAAATGGGAGAGTGAGTGAGATGAGGTTGAGGATGCAAACTTGCAGAATCCTTACAGTTTCCATGGAGAGTGAGGACAGGAATAGGATAAAGACTGACAGAGTTGTCTGAGAGACGGGAGAAGAACCAGGGGAAAAGGGCAGGGAAACCACGGAGAAAGAAATGAAAATGTCTTAGGATTTGGAGAGAGGCGAGACAATGGCCTAGAGAGAACCTTCCCTCCTGGGGATTGAGGGGCAGAAGCAAGACTATCGTAGGTTGGGAAGTAATTGAGTATAACAATCGTGAAATATTCTGATAATATGCCTCATTAGCAAGGTCAAATTAAATGAGAAAACGTATTGTAATTTCACATAAATCTAAGAGCCAATGTAATATATTACATTAGAATCTGCTACTAACATTTTATTTAGGTAATTTGGCTTTAATAATCCCTTTAACACTGTAGATGTTTCCAAATCATATAGTTCAATTAAGAAAATATTATAGCTATTCTGTGTGTATAGATAAAAATACTGCGGCCAAAAAATTTTCTTCCGAGTACGAACTTGAAGTTGTTTCATGTTTTATGTAAAGTAACCACTAAAGCAAGTCAGAACTATCCAATTACAGCTTTCCAGCTTTAAAATAAATAGCAAAATACTTTCCTCCAGGTTTCTGAAATAACTAAGAATAAATCTGGCCTCGATCATTATATCCATTTTTATTTTTTCCCCTAACTCATCAAAAGTATTTAGTCACTTTCCGTTATTAAGACCTTACCCAGTAGAATCAAGGTGTATTTCATAATTTTTTTCTCTCTACAGATGCAAAAGGTATTTAAGAAACTTCCAGGATTCAAAGGAATTCATGTGTTAGGATTTAGGTAAGTAAGAGAGCAGGACTCTTATCAATTTTTAAGTTACTTTCTTCCTAGCCTCTTTTAAAGGTGATGTCATGAGGATTATAAAGTCTCCTTCCCTCCAATTGTTTAGCTCTGTCAAATCCCAAAAACTGAATACATTTCAGATAAAGGAATTATCTAATTAGAACCTGACCCTAGGTCAGTGGTTCTCAACCTTCCTAATGCCTCGACCCTTTAATACAGTTCCTCATGTTGTGGTGACCCCCAACCATAAAATTATTTTTGTTGCTACTTCATAACTATAATTTTGCTACTGTTATGAATCATAATGTAAATATCTGATATGCAGGATATATTTTCATTATTACAAATTGAACATAATTAAAGCATAGTGATTAATCACAAAAACAATATGTAATTATATATTCAATATGTGTTTTTTGATGATCTTAGGCGACCCCTGTGAAAGGGTCGTTCGACCCCCAAAGGGGTCATGACTCACAGGTTGAGAACCGCTGCCCTAGGTGATGCTTTAAGGGGTAGCGCAGGAGCTGTGTTCCTTTCTCCCCCTGGAGTCAGAAACATGGCTCTCTCGGAAAGCTCACCTGCTATCCTTAGCAATGTTATTAGCAAACCTCTTAGAAAAATTCCTCAGTACAGACAAGTCAAAAAAAGTAGCAATTGGTGTCTGATTGCCTGGTTGCCTATCGATGCTAAAGATCATCATTGCTTAAACCAATCAAGTGTGGTGGTTGCCAGAGGGAAAGGGTTGGGGGGAAAAGGGAATCCTAATGTATGGTGACAGGAGAAGATTTGACTTTGGGTGGTGGGCACATGGTGCAATATACAGATCTTGTAGCATAGAAATCCACACCTGAAACCTGTATGATCATGTTGACCAATGTCACCCCAATCAATTTAAGTTAAAAAATAAACACTTAGTTAATTTTAAAATTTGAAACAATAAGTAAATAAAATAAACAAATCAAGCTGAACCAAGAGAGCTAATAACAGTAGTGCCTACAGCGGAGTGGGGTTGGAGGAATGGGGTGGACAGAGACAGGGGTGGAAGCAGGACTTCCCAAAATATTTTATGTTATTTTGACATCTGAACCATAATAATATATAGTACCATGCAAAATCTATTAAATGAAAAAGTATTATAATAATTATAAAAATTGTTAAGTGAAAATTTCCAATAAAAGAAATGAAATAATCAAAGAGCGCCACACTGCAGCAGGGTCCGATCATATTCCCTTGGCAGGTCTATATCCGTCAGCACCTCAACATTCTAATGTGGGTTCATAATTTTTGGCAAGATTTGTGCGTCTTTTTCTTAAGTTCTCATTATTCAAAACATCTACAAGTGGGGCCACATATGTTTTACTTTTTTTCTTAATGCTCCGCAGGGTAAACATCAGCCCTGGTATGACAGAGTGTGATTCCTGCCGGAGGGGATTTGTAAAGTGGGTAAAGCAGGAGTCACCCAAGTCCTTCCCGGCTCCCTTACCGTCTATCGTCTTAAAGCATAAAGGTGCCCAGAGCCAGGGTGCCACACACTCACAAAGCATTCCTCTGGGGGAGCTCCGCCAGTTTATTTCTTTTGAAGTTATCAGGCCCCCTGATCTGCATAATTCCAGAGGAAGGAAACATTGAAAAGTGAAAGTTATAAAAGATGAAACCCTTCCTATTTACCAAAGCAGACTTGTTTTTCTTTATTTCAACATGCCGCCCCACAGTATTCCATGTGAAATCAGATGGATTAAAAAAAATAAAAGGTGATGGGAGGATATTCTGCATAGATGGCAAGGTCTTCTGGATAAACCACTGCAGTTAAAGAACAAATTTTTAATTTAAAGCTGTTAAATGATAGGAACGTTTTGGGGACTTTTTTGGTGAATGTTCAAGTGCTCATTATTTCCTCCTTTCAAATAAATGAAAACTAATAATAATAAAAAATATATTTCAGAACAAAATAAAAATGTTAGGCTGATTAAATTTTCAAGGTAAAAAGTTTAAAGATATATCCCTTGAAGCTGCATCTTCCCCATGTGTTTATCTCTGTAGGAATTTATTCTTATTTCTTCCAAAGATACGTATAAACTAAATTTGATCACATTTTCCCAATGATTTCTATTATGTAATAAAGATTTAGTCTCCAAGAAGGAAAACACATTTGACCCAAATACAATAAATGCTATGCTGTGAGTACCACAAACTTTTAATCATTAATAATGATGCTCAGCATATTGTAAAGTAAACTCATTATGAAGGAAATTGCTTTCTCATGGAGCCAGGTCCCTACAGAAGGCCTAACACCCTATGTCTCCTAGTACTGTCTTCATGTCCACTCATTCATATAAAACCTGATCTACAATTTAATAAGTGCTTTTGTGTCAGTAACCTCATTCGATTATCTCAATACAACTGGGAACTAGTTAGAACATCTATGATTAACACCATTAAAGGGATGAACGGTGAAAGATTCACGTAATATATTGCTTTATCTCTTAAAGCATATATGGGAAGCTATTAACAATCATTCAATCTCGTTGGAGGGTATTCTCCTTCAAAGACTCGCACACCAGTGTCCATAGCAGCATTATTTGTAATAGCCAACAACCCAAATGTCCAACAGAGCAATAAATAAACAAATTGTGACATATTCTTACCATAGACTACTACTCAGCAAAGCAACTATTGGAATACACAACATGGATTTGCCTCAAAATAATTAAGTGAACAATGACAGATCAAAGGGAGTACATTATGATTCCACTTACATTTAACTCTAAAAAAAAAAATGCAGTTGCTTGGAGAGGGTGAGGCAGAGAAGGAATGGAGGGAAGGATTACACAGGGGTACCAGCAAGCCTTTGGGTGATGAAATGTGCTCACTATCTTGATTGCCATAATTGATTCGCTGGTGTACAGGAGTGTCAATCTTATCAAATTGTATACCTTCAACATGTGAAGTTTGTTTCATGAAAATTATATTTCAATAAAGCAAGCTTTAAAAATGAGCAGGACTGGGGTCTTAGCCCAGAAAGCCTTGGCCTCTCTCAGCAGCATCATGGATTACAACTATCACTGAAAGAAAGCAGGAGGCCAGCTCTGGATGAATGTCAAGTTAGTACGGAAAGAATTCCCTTCCCTCAGAGCATCCCAGTGAGATGGTCATAGATTCTCTCTTGTGTTCCCAGAAGGAAAGAGAGTCCATTCAGTCCTGTTATATCAAGGGATGAAAGCAACATGAAACCCCATCCCAAAACAAAAAATGTATAGTGCCTTTGTTGGCAACTCTCATTTGCAATGAAAAAAACTGAATATAGCTTCTAAATTAAATTCATATGTTTATTTTGGAGGAGTCCAAAATGTAGTTGTCAGTTTAGTGACTAAATGACCTTTTTGCAGGTATGAGTGGGTGGTCAGGCTTGAGGTCAGGCAGGCCAGGATTTGAATCCTGGCTCTGCCTCTTTCCACTGACAAGTTCCCTCTCTACCTGTTTTCTGTGAAATAGGATTGATTGTGCTGTTGAAAAGATTTAAAGAGGATGCAAGTGAACTGCCTGATGCAGACCACCCATTCAGTTAACAGCTGTTTGTTTTTCTTGCAACCAGGTCCATGGTGAATTGTACCATTCCCTCAAGGTTTACTGATTACAGCAATTCAAAAAACAAGCGTCAACAAAACAACAGCTCCAGAGTTCAGCCTCAGATAAATTACCTTCAGAATTAAACTAAGCATTTAATGCTATTCACAGGGTCCAGAAATAAATTTATAAAATACATTTTAAAAACTTCCTGCCACCAGCACTACCCAAAACTGTAAAGATGTCTAGGATATATTTGCAGTCTCTTTAGGAGGAATATGAGCAACTCAAAGAGTTTAAGACCAAGAGTACATATAATCTTTGAACTAATTCTCAAATCCTAATCGGAAACATTAGATCATGATGTTTACTTTCTGAGATGTATATGGTTCTCAAAGTTTCCATCCAAATTCTGGTAAGAATTTATATATTTCCTTCAAAGCTTTGGACAAATATGGAAGATAATGGAAAGAATTTTTTGTATATGAAATGATACATTGAATGTCTCCATAAATTTCATAAAAATTTTTACTTCCTTGCATGTTACCATTGTGCATGATGAAATGAAGACCAAAGAAAGAAAGAGATGGGTAATTTGGACTTTTCTTTTTAATTTAAATTCTTTATTGTTTAAACTATTTTGAACTTTTAATATTTTTAAATATAGTACTTTTTCCCCCATAAATGTATATGCTGATCTTTTGCAAATAATGTTTACATATAAAATCTAGGATAACTCAATGATTTTTTAATCGTTTCTTATTTAAATGGGAGTAACTGACCCATTATTCAGTAGTGGGGGTTAGGGGGTAACTCTCAAAATCACTCCATGAGATAAAACTCAAAATCTAATTAGAAAAACATAAAGGCATATAAGGGTGATGCAAGCATGCTTCACAAAAATGTCATTTATGATAGGAAATTGTCTGCCTGAATGCATACTTGTACATGAAACTAGCCTGTCTGGATTAAAGCCGAGAAACTAATTTGCTCCTTGGTTGCAAGGTCATTTGACCTGGGAAAGGGCCCACTAGATCTAGGAAAGCTCAGTAATAAGAATCCAGCTTTGGCTCCTATAATTGACTAAGGAAATAATGAACTACAGACTGACTGATTGTGTGGCCCAAAGAACTGCCAAGGATACACATTATCAGTTCCTGTGGCCTTTAAAACACTTTGCATCCCTCTGAGTGGACTTAAATGAGAAGGTAAAACCTGATCTTAGAGGACATAGTTACAGAGAATTTGATTTGATTTTTACGTGCAAAAAGGCATTGAGTTAATAAATATTATAATAAATATACTTTATCATATGCTACTTCTCTTTCTCCTTTCTCACACCTTCTTTCCAAGATGTTATTTTTAAAGCACCTTGGGAGAAAGATTATGTTTACTTTAGGGTTTTTAATTTTTAATTTATAAATACTTCTTGGAAAAAAAGAAGAAGAGAAATATCTTCTTGATTCAGTTAGTGTTCCCTCTTTAATGTGGACTTAACCCTTATCCTGACATTCTAATTTAGAACTAAAACACATATAAAAAACTACATAAAATACATGTCAATTTTTTGCCACATTTCAAATTTTTTATAAACATTGAAATTATTTTGGAAGTGGGATATTCAAGAGGTTTCAGCTGTCCTGAAGCTTTGTAGCATCATAGTAACCATCTTACCAAGGCATAGAACAATGGCCTTGAGTATGACGTGTCCTCTGCTTCTACAGTTCAAGCTCCATAGAGGTGCGACTTATGGCCATCTTTAAGAGAGACAGTGCAGAAGCAAAAAGTCCTGCAAGTGACCTGCTGTCTTTTGATTCCAACAAAACTGAAAGTGAAGGAATCCTTTATGGGATGACAGAGGAGGACAAGCAACAAGAAACCTATCTCACAGCTTTAGACCTCAAAAAGCTGATCAGCAGAGTGCTACAGGAAGAAAAATCCTTGCACGTGGGGACAATTCAGTTCACTGACGGTCAGTTGGCAACTTCATAGTTCTGGGTTTATCCTCATTCTGACAGAGAGACTAGGAGTTGTGAATGTCTCATGGTCACTGTCATTTTTATTGGGCCTTGCAGAATCTATCATTTCTGTGACAGGCGCATCATGTATGGTATCATTTCTGTCTTTCCTCACTCCAACCTCATTTGATAAGTCTTTGGTGACTACTTCACACCAAGAATAGCTCTAGGAGAAGCCAAGAATGTCAGTCAAGTCCAGTTTGACCACCCAGTAGAGCCCAGGGAGAGAGAGTAACCCCTGGACAGCTCTGTTCCCCTAGCAAAACCCAGATTCCCTTATTAGTAAATTGATCAAGTCCCAAAAGGAAACAGATGGCACATTCAAATTAGGGTCATGTGAGACTAGTTTGATAAAGGGACTATTTATAAAGGTTTCCCTAATAGGACAGTTCCTTGGGCCTAGAAGCAGCAAGGGCCCATTACGACCTCCTGGCCTGAAGGGTTGCCTAATGAACTAAGCCATCCCCCAAAACAGAGGGCAAGCAATCATTGACATATCCCATATAAGACAACCTCCTGGAGCAGAAAGTAGTGGGAAGAGAAGAGGAGCGTGGATCTAAAAAAGTCAACCGGATAATCAGACACACTCAAATCTTCAGTGGGTGCCTGGAGGGACCCAGGAGCCTGGGACTCAACTCCTCAGTAGGCCCAGTACTCCTGGCTTAATAGATGGACAACCGAAATGCCATTTTAGTGTGACATGGCATGAAGCTAGCATTCTCTGCCAGTTCTGTCTCTCTGGCGTCTATAGTCAAACTCAACACTGAAAAGCTTCACAAAAACCTCTTGGTACAATGTGCAGGGTAAGTGAATCTACTAGACAAGAAAAGGTGGACTTCAGACTCATCTCAGAGAACATCTGGTTTGTCTCTTTGTTGAATCCTCTAGGACAGTGGTTCTCAACCTTGGCTGCACATTAGAATCACCTGGGAATCTTTTTAAAATCCTGATTTCTGGGCCTCATCCTCCGGATATGCTGTTTCTTTGTTACTAATGTGGCCCCACCCCATAACAAAGAAACAGAATTTCCGGAGGATGAGGCCCAGAAATCAGGATTTTAAAAAGATTCCCAGGTGATTCTAATGTGCCACCAAGGTTGAGAACCACTGCTCTAGGAGGTTCTGAGAATCAGGCTTTGGTTTGAAGTAGGACTCTGCAAATGGTTCTTGGTTGCAGTATTTATTCGAGCCAGTTCTGTTAGGTTTTGTCAGTTCAGTGATGTTTTCATCCTCACTGGCCTAGCCAATCAGCCTCTCTGCTTAGTCCAAATCTGTACAATAAAACTAAACACCCTAAAAATCCACCTTAATAATTGCTCTTATCACGTAAGCATGCAAGACATACCCCTTGCATCTGTCCTTCAATTTATCCTTCAGATCAATGACCCTTAGCTTATGTGATGACTTCTTAATGATCAGTTGCACCACTCCTTAAGAACTTATTAGTGCCACACTTTCCACCCTAACTGTTTTACTGCCCAAACACAAAAGGAAAGTAAGAAAGTAAACACTCAAATCTTGTGATTTTTCATCCACAGAAATTGTTGGGTCATTGCCTGGCTCTGCTCCCAATACCCAGTCAGTGCTGCCTACACTCCTTGCTGGTTTCACAAAGGTGAGTTTGTTGTCCTTTTGTTCTTCAAATAGAAACAAGGCCTCAAAAATATTCCAACAACAAAAAAGACTGAACAGAGCAAACTCTCCTCTGCAGTACTTAGTGCTTTTTATAGGCAGTAGTTGATTACCCACGTTCCGTATCTGTATTCGTAAAACACAGAAAATGTATATACACTTTAACAGCTAATAGGTCAATTTTGAAAATGAAATGTCTTCTAATAAACACTGCCTTTATACTCATTCAAAGGGTGTGTATACTTTTTTAAGGGACACCCTAAAATTTAAAGTTTCCTTCACTGTAGTCAGATCTTTATTTCAATTAGAGTCAAGATTTGCTCTGTTTTTGATAAAATAAACACATGTTCATAAACTGAAAAGAATACTTAAAGCGGAATATTTTATTTAACTTCCAGAAATAAACATAATTTACAAGTTGGTTCTTAAGGTCTTATCTATATACTGGTATTTATTTATGGGGATCTCATGAGTACAAAATGACATCTTAGAAAGTAAAAATAATAAATTCAGTAATAGTTTTTGTTTCATTTAAAGCTATTGTCATTTAATTTATGCCAAAAGTTATCACTGGGGTATTCATAAATGAAAGTGCTGACTAAGCTTTATTGCCTCTTTAAATAAAGAATTCATAAACTCAAACATGATAGACATAATTCAAAGTATTTCAGTTATGAGTTAACTCTGCATAGGCAGAGTCAATTAGCCACCCCAATAGAGTTCATATTACCACTGTATTGGTGCATTCATCCTGTTTAGGACGTATTTCTCTACCAGAACCTATATCAGAATCTACAGTAGATTCAAGTCAACTAAACTGACTTGCTTAAATTTAAATGAAAAATATATAGATTATAGCCCTTCTCATATTAAAAAAAAAAAAGTCCCTTCTCCACATGTCTTTCTATATTCATTCTTCAGGATGCTACTTTGAGTCCAGAACTTCCTCTTGGTCAGCCCAGGCTCGAGACAGTGGACAGAGAAGGACATAGTCTACCTGGTGAGTTTTTCCTTCCCACAAAGTCTATGTTAGATAACAACATCCTCTTTGAGAAATCCATGTATGACACTACCTCAAAGACCAGTGACAAAGCCCCCCTAGACCCAGAGAAGCTTTCCTCACCCAGCACTGACAACAGGACAGCAGTCCATTGACCCACCCTCCTCTGAAAAGGAGGACACCCTTCATGTCCTTCCCTCAGCTCTAGTCCCCAGGATACAGAGAGCACTAGCAGCCCTTTCCTCGTGGACCTGGGGAGAGAAACTCAAACCAAAGCAGCTCCAACAGCTACCCACACAGAACAGCCATCTCTACTGGGCTTCAAATCTGAGAGTCCATCAAGACAAGGTAGGGCACAAGGCCCAAGTCCACAACGAGGGACTATGGCAACACAGGATTGGGCCTTCACAATCAGTATATGGATTCCTACTTGCCACAGACAGGCTGACCATTGATACTGTCTGTTCTGCTACATGTGTTTCTTTAGCACTGGTTAGGTCATACTGTTGTAATGTATCCCAAGAATCACTCAAGGACGCCTCAAGAAGTTGAATTAAGGAATCACATTTATTTCGAAGCCGGGACTACGAGGGGGCAATTTGCTCTCCAAATCTCGTAGTGGTTAAATGACCACAACACCAGATTTATATAGGCAAAAATCACAAAGGTATTGATTACATCTCGCGGTTATGAATAAGGAACCTGGTTTGCAAAAAAAGCAGTTTGTTACAGAAGCTAGATTGAGCCGATTAGTTATCTACAAATATTAATTATAGTTTTGGGTCTTAGGACCACTGAGTCAACGGAAACACATTATCTGGAGCCACTGGGAAAATTTAGAGTAATTGTGCAGCCGTGGTCTCCAGGTACAGAGGAATGTGTTTTCTAAAACCAGTATGACCACACCCAATGGGGTATTCACATTACAATCAATAGGGTATTCAATCGAATGGGATGATTTATATAATTCAGAAAATCAAAATAACTTTTCTATTATTTTAGCAAGCAAATAATGACAGAAGCCAAGTCAGCAGGGTTAAAATATTAAACAGCAATTCCTACCAAGCATGGTTGCCACCATGCTTCAATATGTAATTGATCCATAAGGGTGTCAGCAAACATTTAAATCTTCTTGATTCACTTCTGAATTTCCAAACCTGTTCATTTTTGAGGCAATAGGGTCAAACATTCTCACAATTAAAGAGAAATCTTTAATCATATATGAAGATCTTTAAGAAACCCACCTGAAAATTCTGAAGAAGAGTCTATTTAGTTCAGGAAGTAGCTGATTTAGTGGCTTCAGAAACCCCTATGCTTTCCACTTTATACAGTTCTGTGATGAAATCGTAAGTAAAAATGTCTTTAAGGAAACCTGAACCCCAAGATGCAAGGTGGTTAAGGATACATTGCGGTCCGAAGTGCAAATGCCGGTGGAGATGTGTTATGGCTGATATTTTTAATAGGATTGTTCCTGTCTTAGAGTTCTTCTTTACAAAAGTCTACAGGTTTTGAGTGGTCCACTTCAATCCTATTTTCCTCATAAACCCTGTATGCAATTAGTATGCAGTTTTATGGAATACTACGTTTTTCATAAACACATACATGTCACAACAGCAGAACCACCTGTACAGATTATATTTTATTTACATGATTAACAGTGAATACATGTTAACCAACATTTGTTACAAACCAATTCTGCAGTTAGTGATTTAAAACAACAATAATTTATTTTCCCCATAAATCTGAAATGTGGGCAGGGACCAGTGGCAACAGCTCTTCTCTGCCCCATTATGTAAACTAGAGTACCTCCACTGATGTTGAAGATCTTTTTCCAAAATGTTCTCTACTTGGCTGGCAAATCAGTGCTCAGCAGAGCTGTTGGCAGGGCTCTCATTTCTGCTCTATCTAGGCCTTTCCCAGGGGCTGCTTGGGCTTCCTCACAGCATCACAGCTGGATGCAAAGAGTCAGTGTTGCAAGAGACAGACAGCTGTCACTCTCTTAAGGGCCAAGAATAGTGTCACTTGCTCACTTTCTAGTGACGAAGCAGCCATGGAGCCCATCTTGATTCAAGAGGAGGGAACACAGAACTTATCTCTTGATGGGAGAGCTATCAAAGAATTTATGGCCAATTTTAATCAACCACATTTCACATCAACCACCACTATATTGATTTTTAAATCATTTGAAAGTTAGTTTGATAAAACAAAATTAATCTTTTGGTGAAATAATTGATATGAAGTGCTCACTGGATATAATAACAATATTATATCATAGAAACTTATTATTATAAGATCAGCATTTCAGATAGATTCATAAAAATAATAGTATATCTATGATGAAAGTATTGTATTTTCAAAATTGCTTTACTGTTCTCATTTTATTTATACATTCCTTTTATTCATGAATATAGCATAGATATAATCTAGTTAAGTTACTGTGTTTCACAGATGAGAAAACCAAGCCTAGAGATGTGAAGTCCTTGCTCAAGGTCACACTACAGCTGGTTGCAAAACCAAGGTCATTCAAGTTTCCTCCACCTATCTACACTAATAAAAGAGAAACATGGTAATTGGCGTACGACCGCTACCCTTCCCATTGGCTAATTAGCGAGATATGCGAATTAACTGGCAGCCAAGATGGCGGCTGGCAGCCAGGCAGCTGATGCGAACAGGGAGGCTTGCTTGCCTCAGTGACGGAGGAAACCAACGTTCCCCGCCTGCACTACAGGCCTCTGAGCCTGCAGTTTAAGAAATTATGTAACAAATACCGCCAGACTTCAGCCAGCGGGATCGCAACATTGTAAGCAAAGGCCAGAAACCTACTTTCAGCAGCGGAGGCCTAAGAGCTGGAGCCAAGCCTCAAACTAAAGCTGGCCCAGAATAAAAAAAAGAAAAGAAAAAAAGGAGCGGTTAGGAGCTTCAGTCACCCCCAGCCTGAAAACAGCCCTCAGCCCCTCACCCAGGCTGGCCAGGCACCCCAGTGGGGACCCCCACCCTGATCCAGGACACCCTTCAGGGCAAACTAGCCAGCCCCCACCCATGCACCAGGCCTCTAACCTATATAGTAAAAGGGTAATATGCCTCCCAGCACCGGGATCAGCGTGACAGGGGGCAGCGCCCAAACCCCCTGATCGGCCCTGCTCTGTGTGTGACAGGGTGCAGCACCCCAACCCCCCCGGCCCCACGGGCCCTGCTCTGTGTGTGATGGGGTAGAGCCATAACCTCCCCATCGGCCCTGCCCTGAGTGTGAGAGTGGCGGCGCCCCAACCCCCTGATCGGCCCTGCTCTGTGGGTGATAGAGGGTGGCGCCCCAACCCGCTGATCCACCCTGCTCTTGGCATGACAGGAGACGGTGCCCCAACTCCCCTATCGGCCCTACTCTGTGAGTGACAGGGGGAAGCTCCCCAACCCCCCTGATTGGCCCTGCTCTGTGCGTGACAGGGGGTGGCGCCGCAACCTCCCCATCGACCCTGCCTTGAGTGTGACAGGGGGCGGTGCCCCAACCCCCCAATCGGCCCTACCCTGAGCGTGACTGAGGGTGGCATCGCAACCTCCCAATCTGCCCTGCTCTATGCATGACAGGGGGTGGCGCCCCAACTCCCCAATTGGCCCTGCCCTGAGCCCGACCAGGGGCTGCACCTAGGGATTGGGCCTGCCCTCTGCCACCCGGGAGCAGACCTAAGCCAGCAGGTCGTTATCTCCCGAGGGGTCCCAGACTGCAAGAGGGCACAGGCCTGGCTGATGGACCCCCCGTCCCCCCCGAGTGCACAAATTTTTGTGCACCGGGCCTCTAGTTATACTATGTTTGGCTTAGTATTATATATATAATACTATATATATTTATATATATACTCATCATTAAATTTATATATATATTTAGTATATATATATAAATTTATATATATATATATACTCATCATTAAAAATATATATTCTCTCAAACTTACTTTGCCCTCAAACCCAGCCTCTTCTTTCTCTATTTCACATGCTGTCTTTTTTATTTTATTTTTTGATAGACATCTGGGTCTTCACTATCTCACCTCCTAATCACCACAAAATTTCACAAGTTTTCACTTCTAATCACAGATTACAGGGATAGAGTTTTCACAAATAGTTTCCTAATTAATCCATTTAGCAACCTCATTTCCATCTTCATTTTACTTGATGTTTCTGGTGTGTGGTGCTTGTTAACCACTCTCATCATGAAACTTCATTTTGGTTCTCACAAATGACTTCCTTCCTGGTTCTCCCACTCCCTGACTTTGACTCCTCCTCAGCCTCCTGCACTGGGGCCTGTCACTAGGTGTGGGGTTTTTTTTATAACTTGTTTATTAAAATCCCACCTTATTAAAAAAAAAACTGTGATGAATTACAGACATGCATAAAATACAATAAGATTTTATTTTTAAAGACTTGAATAACAATGGAAGAAAAGATAAAACAAAAATAAGTCAGATGACAGAGTAATGAAAATGCTTTGGAACTAGGTAGAGGTGGTAGTTACACAACATTGTAAATTTATGAATTTACAATTACTGAATAGTTAGTTTTAAAGTGGTGAATTTTATGTCACATTTCACCTCAATATGTCTTTTTAAAAATCAGTTGACTATATAGGGAAACTTGTGTACAAAATAAACTTGATAAAGCTCTTTCAACTTGTTTTAGGTGGCTGATGCATTTGGCTGGGAGCTTATTAACAGACTGTGCAGTGAGGATAACACAAGTCATATAATTCCGTGCCTGCATGCTTTCAGCATGGTAATGGCTTAGGAGAAAGGATTTCTCCTAAGGATCCTCATAAGGGAGAGAATCCTGTCTGCCATTAACCTCCCTCTGTATAAAATCAGTGTCAGGTGTTTCCTTTAAGGCCCTCACTAGAGATGTGTAATGAATGCCGGAGCCCAATTTACAGCACTTCTCTGAGGGGCTGGGTTCTGACGGTCCACCTTAATTCCAGGATTGATTTTAGAGTATCTAGAGGAATGAATGTGCTTCATAACC